ATATTTTTGCCTCCTTGTTGTAGGTTAACTGACCATATAAACATAGATTTATTTCTGGCCTCTCTATTCCATTCCACTGATCTATGTGTCTGTTTTCATGCCAGTACCACACTGTTCTGATTACTATAAGCTTGTAGTGTAGTTTGAAAGAAGGGAGCATGCTACCTGCAGCTCTGTTCTTTCTCAAGACTGCTTTGGCTGTTCAAGGTGTTTGGTGGTTCTACACAAGTTTTAGAATTATTTGTTCTGGTTCCATAATAAATGCCACTGATATTTTGATGGAGATTGTATAGGATTTGTGGATAATTTTGGGTCATATGGACATTTTAACAATATTAATTCTTCCAACCCATGTGCATGGGATATCTTTGCATTTATTCGTGTCATCTTTAATTTCTTCCACCAGTGTCTTTTTTTTAAAGATTTATTTATTAGAGAGAGAGTGAGTGAGCTCGAATGGCGGGGGAGGGGCAGCGGGAGAGGGAGAAGCAGACTCCCCACTGAGCAGGGAGCCTGACTCTGGACTCGGTCTCAGGACCCTGGGATCTGAGCCGAAGGCAGATGCTTAACCGACTGAACCACCAGGCGCCCCATTTCACCAGTGTCTTATAATTTTCAGAGTACAGGTCTTTCACCTCCTTGGTATTTATTCATAGATATTTTATTCTTTTTGATACAATTGTAAATGGGATTTTTTTTTCTTAATTTCTCTTTCTGATAGCTCATTATTAGTGTATAGAAACACAACTGATTTGTGTATGTTAATTTTATATCCTGCAACTTTACTGATTCATTTATTAGTTCTAATAATTGTTTGGTGGAGTCTTTAGGGATTTTTTTAAATATATAGTATCATTTTATTTGCAAATAGTGACAGTTTTACTTCTTCCTTTCCAATTTGGGTACCTTTTATTTCTTTTTTCTTGACTAATTGCTCTGGCTAGGACTTCTATGTCAAATAGAAGTGGTGAGAGTGGACATCTTTGTCTTGTTCCTGATCTTAGAGGAAAAGCTCTCATCCTTTCACCGCTTAGTACGGTGTTAGCTATGGGTTTGTCATATATGGCCTTTATTATGTTGAGGTATATTCCTTCTACATCGACGTTGCTGAGAGTTTTTATCATGAATGGATGTTGAATTTTGTCAAATGCTTTTTCTGCGTCTGTTGAGATGATCATGTATTTTTTATCCTTTGTTTTGTTAATGTGGTGTATCACGTTGATTGACTTGCAGATGTTGAAGCGTCCCTGCATCCCTAGAATAAATCCCAAATGATGATGGTGTATGCTCCTTTTAATGTACTGTTGACCGACTTCGGATGTTGTGGTTTGGGATTTTTTGTGGGGTTTTGTGGGGCTGGCGACAGGGCCCCGTCTGCAGTGCTTAGGACTTTGGGGCTGGGGGTGTGGGGGTTCATCATCAGGAAGTCATCAAAAGCTGACTCAGCTTCCTCCACGAAGAGGAGGCATCGGGGCCATGTCCTCAGTGGGTTTAGTCCCGCCTTCAGAGCCTGCTTCCTGGTAAAAAGTTGACATTTGCTCGGAGCATATGGTCTACACTCTAGAACAGTGGTTCTCAGACTGTGGCATCCAGACCAGCGGCACCAGCAGCATCTGGCAGTGCTCAGGCCCAAATCCTCAGGCCCACCCCAGACCTACAGAATCTGAAACTCTGGGGGTGGGGCTCAACATTGGCATTTCTAGCAAATTCTCAGGTGATACTCCTGGTGCAGGGACCGTACTTTGAGAACCACTGGCCTAGACAAGCTAGAAGTCCCCTCCGCCTTCAGGGATGGCTCAGCAGTGGCACTAGAGAGACCAGTTGGCAATGGTCAGGACTTACAAGAAGCTCTCTCTCTGGGAGGAGATGAATGCTTCTCCTGAGACAGAGAAATGAGGCGCCAGGGCAAACCTCCTCAGGGTCACGGCAGGGCCTTGGCAACCTGCGTGGAGTGACCAGGAAGGGCTCTGTCTTTTTGCAGGTGGGTGACCCTGGGCAGGTACCCCACATCTCACACTCTCAGCGTGCCCATTGGGGAAGTGGCTTTACGTCTGCCTCAGTTGGTTTGAGGATCGAGGAGTCACCACACACTGGCATAGTAGGGCTGCATGTACGCCCCTCTCCCGGACCACGGCAACACCGGCTTCCGCTGCCTGCCCATCTCCTGCCACCTCACACGCGATATAGGCCCCAAAGTTGTTGCCCAGGCTGGGAGATCACGTGGGCCTCAGGGACCTTATTTAGTATGAAATGTCCCACATGAGAAATGTGGGACATTTCACCTCTCTTCTCTTGCATTTATCTCCCCTCCCAAGACCATCACCATTTAATGCAAAACACAGCCTCCCTTCCACCCAAAACCCACGTCGGCCGGGTAGAAAATGTCTCTCGCTTGCTGCCTGGAGAAAGTCCCAAATCTGCAGCCAGGTCCTGCCGGCCCCGGGCTCTCTCCGCCCTGGCGTGGGGGCCCTGTTTGCAGCCCTGCCAGGCCACTGCCGCCGGGCAGTCCCTCTCATGATAAATTGGACCAGCAGTCTAGACAGTACGTGATTGTGTCTGTCTCTCCGCGGGGGGGGGGGGGGCAGATGACGTCAGTGGCCCCGTGTTGGGGGCGTGCCCGGCACCAGGCAGCCAGGGCCAGTCACGAGTCTCAGGGCAGGAGGAGGGCTCCTCCACCCACAGCCGACTTTCCCTGTCGGGTGACATCCCCCTCGGCAGGGAGGCTGGTGACAGGGATGGGGCGCGGAGCCGGCCCCGAGAAAACCGCAGTATCCATCTGGCCAGGGGAAGGGAAGACACCCCGGCAGGGCCTGTTTCTCGCCTCCAGGGGAGCTGCCTGGGTTAGAGCCTCTGTCTTCATCTGGGACCATTCTGCAGTCCTGATTCATTGTGAACCAGAGCCTGAGTATGATTACACAAGACTCCCCCTTCTAAAAACAAAAACAGCTCCCCCTAACCCCTCACCTCTCCTGAGAGCCTTCCTTCCGGCACAGCTAAGCTTCTCAAAAGAGCTGCCTGTTCTCGCTGTCTCCACCGGGGACCCCTGAATTGCTAGCTGTCAAGGGTCCGTGTCACTCCTCACCCTTCTGGAATGCTCGGACACATCTGGCACAGCTGACCGACCGTCCTTCTTGAAAAGCTGTCCTCAGTTTCCATCACACCCCTGGCCTGGCCATCCTCCAACCTCTCTACTTCTTCTCTGTCCCCTCCTGTCTCTCCCCTCCTAGATACTCCCCCTTCTGGGGTGCTGACTCCAGCGCCCCGTCCTTTCCTCACTGCTCTTCTCGCTCAGGGCGATTTCCTTGGGGAATTACATCTGTCCCATGGCCTCCACCTACACTCTTGTGCAAACAAGTCCAAACTAGGCCTGGCCCAGACCTCTCCTCTGAGCTCCTGACCCTTTTATCCAGCTGCCCACTCAGCACGCCCCTTGGCTGTTCCACAGGCATCTCAAACCCAGCACGTTCAAAACCCAGCTGATGAACTGCCCCAAACCTCCCCTCTGCCCATGCTCCCCTCCCTTGAGAGGTGTCCACCAATTACAGAAAATTACAGGAGATGAGAAACTGGAAATACAGAAAAAAGAACTCAAATTTCCATAGTCCCAGCTACTTGCTGTTTGGATGTACTGACTTCTGGTCTTTCTATGCTTTTAATATCTAGTTTCCCCACCTAACATTTTAACCTAAGGATGCGCCTGCTATTACCAATTCTGTGTAACTTACTTTAAAATTGTTTGGAGGGGTCCCTGGGTGGCTCTGTCGGTTAAGCGACTGCCTTCGGCTCGGGTCATGATCCCAGGGTCCTGGGATTGAGCCCCACATCGGGCTCCCTGCTCGGCAGGAAGCCTGCTCCCCCTCTCCCTCTGCTGCTCGCCCCACCCCCCGGCTTGTGCTCTCTCTCTCTCTCTCTCAAATAAATAAATAAAATCTTCAAAAAAAGAAAACATTAAAATTAAAAAAATAAAACTGTTTGGAACAGATAACACCTTCTAACAGTACAAAAGGGGATGTTGTAGAAACTAAGTCTGCCTCCCACACCAACCCCCGTCAACTGGTTCCTGCCCCAAGGCAACTGCCCTCCTTTGCAGAGCCTTTTAACGATACTTTGCGCCCACACAATGCTATTCCCACCCTTCCCTGCACGTAGACCAGCACAGCATATACCCTGTTGGCACCTGCCCCTTTCCCATTTGAGAAGCTGCCTTGGAAATCATTCCCTAACGGCCCATGCGAGCCTCCTCCTCCTCGTTTCCAGACTCTCCGTGCACTGCTGCCTGGTCATCGTGGTTAGGAAACTGGTGGTCCCCTGACAGACGTTTGAGTGGTTGGCCGTCATTACTATTATCCATCAGACTGCAGTGGAGATGCGCTGGCGGGGGCACCAGGGCCCCGGCCAGGAGGAAGGGATGTGAGGGCAGTTTTGAAGGAAGAATCGATGAGGCCTGGAGTAGGCAGAGAGGTGACAAGCCTGGTAACAGGAAACCAGGTGACAGGACTGCAGGGCCCCCATGAGTCTAGTTCTGAGCTCGTTGGTCCTGAGTGGGGATGCAAGACTAGAGAGATGCAGGCCCAAACCTTCGGGGGGGGGGAGGTTAAGGCCAGATGCCTGGGCTTGGGACTGAGCTCATGAAGGAGGAGCACCGCTGTGCAAGGTGCTGGGCCCTGAGTCAGCTCCTTTACTCCTCACAGCAACGTGAGAAATCGGCATTATCCCCATTTTACAGACGAGGGGATACAAATCTGCCATGGCACGGATCTGCTCTGCGGGCGGGAGGAGACGGGGGAGACCGCTGGGTGGGTGGCAACAGAGGGGACAGAATGCTTCCAAAGAGGCCCCGTTTGTGACCTCAGGCACTGAATTCAGAGCTCCCTTCTCCACCTGGTCAGGTCTCCACGTGGCAAGGCCTTGGACGAAGTGGGGTGTCTGGGGTCTGCTGGGCCCTGGGTACCGGGCCGGCTACCTGCCTCTAACCCGGGGCTTTTGCTCTTCCCTGGCAGATTCTGCCCATTGTCATCTTCTTCAGCTGTGTCATGTCCATTCTGTACTATGTGGGCCTCATGCAGTGGGTGATCCAGAAGGTGAGTTCCCAATGCCACGGCCTCTGGGCTCTCGGGGAGCTGCCTACCCGTGGGGCTCCTGCTCTCCCAGAAGGCCTTGCACCCAGAGCCCAAACCCTCCCTCACTCCCCAGCTCTGAGAGCCTGAACCTTCCCCGGATCCTGCTCCCGGGGTCTACACTTGCCACTCAGAGTCTACTGTTTGCAGAGTCTCTTGTCGTGATACTAAAGGGAGATGGTACCAAATACAATGTGGTCTTTGTGTGAGGGAAGTTGGCAGAAGTGAGGCTGCTTTGAGAAGAAATATCAGGGAAAGAAATCATTTGTACCAAAAAGATCTTGAGAGACCAGAGCAGTGGGCCACGTGGGCCAGACTTAGCTGGTGTACATGTCAAATCCTGTGCTTATGTTCATAAAATGTGCCGCACGAAACCAGGACGCAGGAGGTGGCATTGGGCAGCAGTTAGACCTGGCCATGGGGATGAGTCTGAGGTTTTAGCCTATCGAGCTCAGAATAAACCAGGGGCAGCAGGGGGCCACCAGAAAGACAAAACCACCTGTTATGTAAGGAGTGCCCAGCGCAGGGCAGGAGGGAGGTTCTCTCCAAACCTGGAGAGTGTGTTCGGCCAAGGGGCTTTGGCAACTGAAGCCTCAGGGGAACAGTGACAGGGCCCGACACCATGCCCTCCACAGCATGGTTGCAGGACGTAGGGCTGCTGAGCCTGGAAAAGAGGCTAGGATGGAGGAGGTGAGGGTAGGAGAGCCGTGTCCAAATGCCTATAAAAGAAGGGTTAGATAAAAGAGCAGCCAGGGAGGTTCCTGCAGCGGGGAGAAATTCCAGGGAAGCAGACTTCATCTTGATTGAAAGGAAGAACTTTCTAATACAATGTTTCCCAAAGCCTTTTTCACAAAACTCCAGCTCCATGGAGGGTTAACACACGTTACTAGGTAAAGGGATCCCGTGGTCAAATACTTTTGTGAAGCTGGGCTAGACAAATTCGAACAGGTTTTTTGTGCAGGATTTCTCAGAGCCTTTTTCTAAGCTATGTATTTGGTAACCTGCAAAGTGTGTGTGTACAGAAATTCTCAAGTATATTGGGCCAGGGAACCCTTTTGTATGGAGACAGAGAACATGCATGTGAGAAGCCCTGTTGTAGTGATTGGAGTTACCCTAAGGTGGAGTCGGGGGGCCTTGGGAAGTGGTAAGCCCCCATGAATGGAGGTGTGAAAGGAGAAATGTAGGTGAGGGTTTCCTATGCTGGGCTGGAAGTTGGAAGGAAGACTTACCAGGTGCTTCCACCCTGCCCCTGACTCTCTCCGACTCTGGGGTCTGCCTGCCCACAAAGAGCTCTCTGCCTCCTAGATCAGTTGGCTGATGCAGGCCACCATGGGCACCATGGCCACTGAGACCCTGAGTGTGGCTGGAAACATCTTTGTGAGCCAGGTGGGTACTGCAGCCCCTGCCCTCATGCTCAGCAGCAGCATTCCCGGCGGGGCGGGGGGCGGTCCTGAGTCCTCAGAGCTCTGATTCAGTCAGCGGAAGAGACACTTGGACCTTCTCCCAGGGTCACCAAAGGCCGCTGCCCCGGAGATGCTCTGTTTGGGGGTGCACTCTTTGCCTGAGTCATGCCAGGGAGGATGGCCTCTGTCTGGCACCTCCTACTTACTGCTCTTGGCCATGGAGGTCTTCATCCGCTTAGAGACTCACAAATCCTACAGGTGGCGTCCACCTTTCTCCCTTCCTGTAGAAACAGGCTCGAGGTGGGAACAGCTTGCCACGACCCCACAATATAAGTCAGGACTTAGAATCCACCTGTTCCCTTTCCTGGGCAGTGTTCCTTACATGACATCATTTTGTCTTCTTTTTTCCCCTCCTTCTTTCTGAAATATATTTTCCAAAGTAAATGTGACTCTAAAGGGCCATGTCGGCCCTGAGCCCCTTTCAGAAGGCCCGGTCCTCCTGGGGGTGAGACCCCGGAGCCCGTTCCAGGGACCTAGCCCATCGGAACAACATTGGGGTCACCAAAAGTCCTATTTGCCACAGAAAACCATATTTCACTGGACAGTTTAGGAAACTGGAGCATATTTTCATCTTTTTGGCGATAGGACCACTGGGTTGATTTCAAAGGGTTTTTTTTTAAGCCAATGAAGACAGATGTGCTCTTAGATAAATTGTCTCAAATCCCTTCAGATGTTTAAAATGAAGCAAAAGAGAAAGAAATACTGAAATACGAAAACACGTCTTTAAATGAAATGTGGCAAATGTGCTCCATGGTTTTTGCTGAGAAAATACAAATTTTAGGTGAATGGGATTTGGGTGATGTGAAGAGCTCCCCAAGTGAACTGCCTTGGGACCAGTTGGTGGGCACATTGACCTAGACCCCTGGGTCTTTGCCTCGCTTCCCCCAAGGGAAGGGGATGGGGAGCCTCTGAGGATCAGCAGCATCATCTCAGCCCTGATGCTGGCGGCCCGGGTCCTCTTCTCTGGCCACACTCTGTCCCTGGGGGGTTGCACCAGCCCCATGGCTTAACCACTTCAAGTGTCACCCCAGACCCTAGCTCCAGCGTGACCCACCCAACTGCCCCTTGACCTTCCACTTGGGTACCTAAAGGGCATCTCAGATTCACCACACCAAGTCCAAGCGGGTTAACCCCGATTCCCTCCTCGACACATCTGCACGCTTCCAAGTCTTTCTCTTCTCAGGAAAGGGTACTTCCTGTAGCGTCTTCCACGAAGTTGATCAGACAAAACTCCAGGAGTCTTCCTTCCCTCCTCGGCTTCCCTCGCTCCTGGCAGCCCCCGGCCCACCTGCCCCTCCTCCTCCAGCTCCAGCTCCAGCTCCAGCGCCCCACCCCCACCCCCTCTGCCACAGGCACACTGGCCTGCTCACGGGTCCTCAAAACTGCTGAGCTCAAATCTGCCCCAGGGCCCTTGCTGTTCACCTTGCCTGCAATGCTGTGCCACCAAATCCAACCGATGGCCCCTGTGGTCTCAGCTCCAATGTCACCTCCTCGGACAGCGCTTGCTTGTTAATTCTAAACACCCCGCAACCACCAGGCATTCACCAAGCACATATCTCCATAGCTTTAGCACCGTCTACGAGACACTGTTTCTCTACTTGGTTCCTTGCTGGTTATCCATTTCTTCCCATAACCCACCCTCTTCCACTGCTCCCAGGATAAAAACTCTGTGCGGTCAGGGGTTCTATCTTGTTTACCCCCAATCCCTATTCTATAGAAGAGTCTGGAACATAGGAGGTGCTCAATAACTGTTCATTAAATGAATAAATGAATGGCTCCAGGCTTGCCCAGATGCCCTGGAGTAAACACGCCACCGAATGCCCATCTCCTAGCTTTCTGGCAACCCCTATGGCTTCATTAAAAGCTCAGGCCTGGAGTTCCATCCACTTCTGGCCCTTTGCATGAACACAGGTAATTCTCTGAACCTCTCTGATTCTCTGTTTGCTCTCCTGGAAAAGGGGGATGACCACTTCTGTCTCCGAAGGTCATGAGTGATGAATGTGAGGTGCCAGGACCTAGTGGGCACTTGACCCAGGGGAGCATCATCAGGCCAAGAGGAAGGGCTGGGGGTCCTTGCCTAGAGCCAGGCCAATGCCAAGGTTCAGGGAGGCCCAGCCAAGTACAGACTACGGTCCCGACCCTGCCTTGCTGACTCTGCCCCTGGGATCCCCGGGACCCTCTGCGACTTGTGCCCACTCCCGGGGGAAGGGGGGACACCCTGGCTGTCTGACATCTTTCCTGTTTGCAGACGGAGGCTCCTCTGCTGATCCGGCCCTACCTGGCCGACATGACTCTGTCCGAAATCCACGCCGTCATGACCGGAGGCTTTGCTACCATTGCTGGCAGCCTGCTGGGCGCCTACATCTCCTTTGGGGTATGTCGAGCTCTCCCTGTGCTTGCTGAAAACCTCCAGAACCTGAAACCCTCCTTTGGTGGGAGCTGCACACAGCTCGTGGCCGGAGCAACCTAGAGTCTTCCGACGTGGGCTGCGCTGGGAAGGCGGGCCAGGTGGGCGGGACCGTTCGGGCTTCTCACGTGGAAACGGGGGGCAAGAGTTCCCAGTGTTCCACCTGCTGAGCACCTCTCCTGTACCAGGCAAAGTGCTAGGTATCTCGACATTCCCATTTTACAGATGAGGAAGTTGAGGCTCAGAGAATAGGCGAGATGCCCCAGCCAGGATTCGAGCCCACATCTGTCTCACTCTAAGACTCATACGCACAGTCCCTCACCTGGGCTGTCCCTGGAGATCTGTCCTTCTCCCCCTGCCCTCCTCTTCCCCACACCCTTGCTGGGCACAAGTCCTTCCTCTGCTCCTAAATTATTGCTTATGCAGCTTTTGAGCGCAATGCATTTCTAGGTCAAATTCCAATGGTGTGACTCAAGCCCTTACACCAATCCCGGTCCTGCGTGGCAAGCAGAGATGAATCTTCCCATGTGTCCCCTACAAAGTGCCTGGTAATAGCGCTCTGCATTTGTTAAACACTCTGTACTTCTTTGTGCTTCCACGTGCAAATCTTTAAAGATCTTAATGTTTTTCTTAACTATCAAAGAAATTCTTGCTTCTTGCAGAAGCGAGGAAAGTAAAAAAAAAAAAAAAAAAAAAAAAAAGAACTTCTTCAAACCCACTTCTCAAGGGAACTGCTTTTACTAGATTAGAAGTTTAGAACAGCAGTTCTCTTGACTGAGAGCTTGTTAGAAATGCAAATTCTTGCCTCCCCCCCCCCCACCCCCCCCCCGCAGACCCGCTGAATCAGAAATGCTGGCGATGGGGCCCATATCCTGGATTATAACAAGCCTTCCAGATGACTCTGGTGCTCAATTTGAGGACCATTGACTTAAAATTCATCATTCCAGATCTGTCTGTGTCGTCATTTAAGTATATATACCTGAATACACACATACTCGCTTTCTTTTTTTACTAAAAATGAAGTAATTCTACCCTTGGTTTTCGGCAGTTTGCCGTTTTCTTGCAAAATCTGAGCATGACATGAAATCCAGAAGTAAAAAGGAAAAGGTTGACAGAGCTACTCATAAAAATGAAAAATGTCTATATGGTGAAAGTCACAATTTTTAAAAAGTTTAAATGATTGATCAGGTTAAAATAGTTCATAAATCATAAAAAGATATTCCAGCTCACTGATAGTCAAAGAAATTAAAACAATAGTAACTTCTGTTTCTTCTAGAAGACGTGCAATATTTTACATGCTTCTATTTTTAAAAAAATACTTTATTTATTTGCCAGAGAGAGAGAGAGAGAGCACAAGCAGGGGCAGCGGCAGACAGAGGGAGAGGGAGAAGCAGACTCCCCACTGAGCAGGGAGCCTGACAGGGGCTTGGGGCTCGATCCCAGACCCCTGAGATCAGGACCTGAGCTGAACGCAGACACTTAACCAACTGAGCCACCCAGGCGTCCATTTACATGCCTCTAAATGGCAGAGCTATTGGGCGCTTTTGACAGGAGTGTAATTTGCTGTCACCTTTTGAGAGAACATCTGTCAGTCAGTTTAAATACTCTTTCCCAGGCGCCTGGTGGCTCAGTCAGTTAAGCGTCTGCCTTCAGCTCAGATCATGATCCCAGGGTCCAGAGATCGGGCTCCCTGCTTGGCAGGGAGCCTGCTTCTCCCTGTCTCTCTATCCCTCTCCCTCTGCCCCTCCATCCTGCTCTCTCTCAAGCTCGCTCTCGCTCTCTTTCAAATAAATAAATAAAATCTTAAAAAAAAACAACTCTTTCCCTTTGATCCAGTTAGGAATATTATGATACGGAAATATTTTCATAAGTGGTCAAAAAATGCCAAATTCCAACGTTATTTGTAATAACACACACAAAAAAAAAGGAAAGAAAGAGCGAGCAACAACCTAAATGTCACCCATATCACCCTGTCGCTCAGCCCCTAGAGTGAGGTGGGCCTCCTGGTGTGGATGGAGAGTGTGGCCTGCCTTTCGCTGCCTGCAGGGTCTCAAGAGTGTGTGTGTGTGGCGGGGGTGCGGTGGGGATGCTAGAATAACCCACCCTGTCCCCTCCCCTGGTCCTGAATTCCACCTGTCTTTCCCATCTCTGTTCTTGGGAGTGGGCATGGGGATGAGCCAACCGGCCCTTGGGGCACATGGGCCACACTGGTAAGCTCAGCTGCCTGAAGAACTCCCCGGGCAGAGCAGATGCTGTGTGACTTTCCCAAAAGGCCCCTTGTGCTCTGGCGTTTTGATCTTCTGGGCTTGGCACCCTCCGGACGAGAATTTTAGAGATCATCTGGTTCACCAAGGCCTAGAGAGAGCCCACCACCCCGAACGGATTTTGGAAGGAATTTGATGTTTCAGAAATGGAAACTCACAACTTTGTTCCTGAAACTTTTTTCATGGCAGTGTATTGGGGGGCGGGGGGGGGGGTGCCGCCGTTTGTTGGGACTTAGGGCTTTTACATGTCTTGATATTGCTCTGGTTTCCACGGTCAGTTAAAAGAAGGGTATTCCCACTGCGTGAGCCTTGCTGCCATTACTTAAGATTAAAATACCGGGAGAACTCTCCCTATTCCACAATCTGCCTTGCCACTCAGCTTCCTTTCCTTCTTGTCTCAGGCCAGAGTCCAGGCCCAGCCCCAGGCAGTCGGGCCTCCCACTGAAGGGACCTGGGTGCCCACTTCCCTTTAGCTCAACAGAATGTGCAGAGGCCGCCAAAGCTCCACGCACAGGCTCTGGTACGAAGCCCCAATCCCCATAGCTGGCCCAGGTGAAAAGCACCCCACAGACCTTCCTTCCCTCCTTCCCTCCCTGCTCTGGATGGGCCTTTAGTCTGGAATCCGAGAAGCTCTCGTCTGCCCCCACCTGGCACTTGGCTGCCACTGCAGCAGCCCCAGGGCCTTCTCCCACAGCTGCGCCTTCCCACCCTCTCCCCTCTTCATTCCCTGCCCCCCCTCCCCGGGCAGCTCCTCACTGTGTCTTTGACTCTGCCCTCAGCCCCTGAATTCCAGAAAGGTCACTGCACACTCCTCCTTTCTCTTTGTTGCTCAACGGGCTCTCTTTGCCCTGCTCTCCTATCGGATCTTTCTACCCCTGTGCCATCTGATGCACTGACCACTAGCCACACGAGGCTACTGAGCCCCTGAAATGTGGCTGGTCTGAAATGAGATGCGCCTTGAGACCTCGTACGGACAAAAATGGATATATTTTATGAATAAGTTTTATATTGATTACATGAATGGAAAGATAATGTTTTGGATATGTTGGGTTAAGTAAAATGCATTACCGAAAATAATTTCACCTGTTTCTCTCTACTTTTTTAATTGGCTACTAGAGAATTTAAAATCACAGACATGGTTCTCATTATATTTGTATTGGACGGCACTGGTCTAGACCTCCTCCCCTGCTCTGAGGTCCCAGGGCTCCCTTGACTGAATTCTTTCATTGTGATCTCCATTTTCTTTTCTTTTCTTTTTTTTAATAGTTTTTTTTTTTAATTTTTATTTATTTGAGACAGAGAGAATGAGAGAAAGAGAGCATATGAGAGGGGGGAGGGTCAGAGGCAGAAGCAGGCTCCCTGCCGAGCAGGGAGCCCGATGCGGGACTCGATCCCGGGACTCCAGGATCATGACCTGAGCCGAAGGCAGTCACTTAACCAACTGAGCCACCCAGGCGCCCCTTTTTAAGAGTTTTTATTTATTTATTTGTGAGAGAGAGAGAACACAAGCAGGGGGAGCACAGGTAGAGAGAGAAGCAGACTCCCTGCTGAGCAGGGAGCCTGATGTGGGGCTTGATCCCAGGACCCTGGGATCAGGACCTGAGCCGAAGGCAGACTCTTCTTCTTCTTTTTTTTTTTTTTAAAGATTTTATTTATTTATTTGACAGAGAGAGATAGTGAGAGAAGGAACACAAGCAGGGGGAGAGGGAGAGGGAGAAGCAGGCTTCCCGCAGAGCAGGGAGCCAGATGTGGGGCTCGATCCCAGGACCCTGGGATCATGACCTGAGCTGAAGGCAGACTCTTAACCGACTGAGCCACCCAGGCGTCCCTATACATTTCCCTTTTCACCGTAGTTCCCCAAAACTCTAAAGCAGGCCCCAGCCCTCTCCACTAACCCCAGAAACTGGTCTCTCTCCCCACTCCTTTGGCTCAGGGGCCCCTCTGAGGGGAGCTGTGAACACAGGCTGGGAAGGGTCATGTTGAGGGGATCAGTCACTGATGCTCCTCAATCGTGCAAGAGTGGGGGCCCCTAGGATAGGGTCTATGAGGTTCTGAGCAGGGCTGACAGTCTACCACTTAGTTTCCACATCTGTAAAATGGGCAGAATTTCTGCCCACCTCACAGCAGTTTAAGAGTTAAATGCAATAATAGAAAACAGAACAGTGTTGAAAAAGTGGTATTTCTTTCTCTGACATATTAGAGTCAGAAATCCATCCTTCTGAAATTGGCCCCTTTTATGCTTTGTAGTTGTGTGGATTTTTTTTCCTTTCTCAGTAAAGTTTTTTTTTTTTTTTTTTTAAGATTTTATTTATTTATTTGACAGAGAGAGAGCGCGCACAAGCAGGGGGAGAAGGAGAGGGAGAAGCTCCCTGCTCAGCCCTGATGCAGGGCTCTATCCCAGGACCCTGGCATCAGGACCTGAGCCGAAGGCAGATGCTTAACCGAGCCACCCAGGTGCCCCAGTAAAGTTATTTTTGATGGAGGGTGCATACCCTCTATCCCTCTCCACATGGGACCCCCTTTGGGTAGAGAGAGGAAAGCTTTGAGCAGAAGTAGGCCCTGGGATGCTGGGGCAGAAGGTGTTCTTGACGGGGCGCCTGCAGGCAGGACTGGGGGTGTCACAGCCTGAGGAGTCGCTGGCAGTGGGGAGGACTGGCCCCGTGCCCCAGCGAGGCCAGTCTGGGCAGAACTCACCCCTTTCCAAGCTGTAATGACCAGCTGGAGCCCTTGAGGCTCTGGTCAGGCTTGGCGCACTCCGACAGTGTCCAGGAATGTGACACGGACAGGATGTGTACCCTGCTCAAGTTGGCAAGGGTGAGATGACCTCCAAAGTGGGGCAAGGGGGAGGGTCCTGGCTGATGGAGGGGAATGTCCCCATGGGATCTGGGCAGCTCCACAGAGGCAGGTGACATCCCAAAGCCCAGCCCGGAACATCCAGATTCTGGTTTCTTCCGGCAAGGAGCAGGGCCTGCACACCGAGGGCCTAGGATAGGGTGTGCAGGAGGTGGGCGTTGGTGCTGATACTCATGTTAAGGGATTTCTACTCCCAACTGAAAAGAAACAAAGGGGGCTTAAAAGAAGAAGGAAGGGCGCCGGGGTGGCTCAGTCGGTTAAGTGTCCGACTCTTGGCGTCAGCTCCGATCATGACCTCAGATGGAGCCCCCCATGGCAGCTTGACAACGCTTAGCCGTTCCCTTGTTGTTAGATGTTTGGGTTGGTTCTAATTTTTCCACTTGGTAAATAATACAGTGTTGGAAAAATATCCCATCCACCTCTGGGGCAGAAGACAGGGAAGCAGGGGTGCCTGGATGACTCAGTTGGTTAAGTGTCTGCCTTTGGGTCAGCTCATGATCTTGGGGTCCTGGGATTGAGCCCTTCATTGGGCTCCCTGCTCAGCAGGGAATCTGTTTCTTCTTATCCCTCTGCTCATGCTCTCTCTCTCAAATAAATAGATAAAACCTTAAAAAAAAAACAAACAAACAGGGAAGCAAAGGGTTTGAGGCCATAGTAAGGATAATAATTCAGGAAGGATGAATCCCTGGGGCCCAGGTTGCTCTGCCATACTGCTGGGAAGGAATTCGGTAGCGTGGCTCCTGTAGAGAGACTCAGGGCCAAAGGGTGGCTGTTTTGGTGGCAGATTTCCTAAGGGCTCCCTGACCACTGCAGTGGATGCGATGGGCCACCTTGAAACGGTGAGCTCCCTGACACAGTAAGTATTCAAGGCGGGAATCCTATAGAGGAAGGACATTCCTATATTATGAGGTCAACTGAGGTAACTGCTTGGATCCATCACAGCTCTTGTTCTGTGCGCTGTGAAACCATCACAAACCCTTCAGCCGGTGGTGGACCAGCCCTCAGATGACTGGCCAAAGGAAGACAGCCCAGGAGGGAAGGAAGGACTCTGAACTTGGAGCCAAAAGACATGAAGGTTCTAATTCCTTCTCTGACTTCATTTTGGGCAGGTCCCATTTAACCTTGGGGGGCCTCAGTTTCCTTGTCCGCACCGTGCCGTGGGCTAACACCACTTGCTGGGTCTCACTGACCCAAGTACTACAGGGAAAGAGGACGTTCTGTGCAACCAGCCTGTGACCCTTTACCCAGAAAAGGTATCATTACTGTCACCAACGACAACAGCAATACTGACCACGAGGACACACCCAATGAGGCAGAGCACCCATGCCCCCTGCTGCCCTGGGCTGCACTCCTGACCCCGACACTTCCCTGTCTCCCTCTGTCTCCGGGTAAGCCTCACTCCCATTCCTGCAGATCGATGCCGCCTCCCTGATTGCCGCCTCCGTGATGGCCGCCCCTTGTGCCTTGGCCCTGACCAAGCTGGTCTACCCGGAGGTGGAGGAGTCCAAGTTTAAGGGCGCAGAAGGGGTGAAACTGACTGGAGGGTGAGCACAGCGGGAGGGTAGCCTGGGGGGGTGGGAGGTAGGGGGGCGCAGGGGGGAGGGGGCGGGGGAGGGGAGAGGGGAGGAATGCTGGGGGGGTAGCGGGAGGGGGTCTGGGGGAAGAGAGGGGAGGGGAGGGAGGTGGGAAGAGAGGTGGGGCTGGGGGAGGAGGGGAGGGAGGTTGCAGGGAGCAGGGGGTCTGGGGGGAGCAGAGGGTGAGGGGTGGGAGGGGAGGGGAGGGGAGGGGGAGGGCGGTGGGGGGAGGGGGCAGGAGCATAGGCCGAGGCAGGCGTCTGGTTCTCTCTGCCCAACCCCAGGCCCTCTCCTCCTTCACTGCCCCGGCTTGTGGCTTCGCGGGGCTTCGCGGGGCTTCGCGTCTTAATTTCCAGGCTCCGACCAGAGGGAAAGGCCCGGCAGGTCACATGGGACAGCGGCCTGTTGCGCGTGTGCTGGGGAGGGTCCTGAGAAGGCCCCAGGCCACCTGTTCCTGGGGCCTTGCGCTCCCGCAGCAGCTAGCAGTCACATAGTGACTCAGCACCACCCCTGATCACCTCACCTGCCAACACCTCTTGCTCTAGCCGAACAAGCACCATGTAACACTGGCTTTGGTGTTGAGAAGGCTCCAGCGAGCTTGGGGTACAGTGCGCAGGTCCAGAGCTGCACCCCCTGTAGAAACAGAGTGTGGGCCACATCTAGAATTTTAAGTTTTCTAATAGTTGTGGTTTTTACAAAGTCAAAAGAAACAGGTGATTTTATTAACAAATTTTTAAATCTAGTATGTCCAAAATATTGTCCTTTCAACATGTAATCAGTATAAAACATTATTAATGAGCTATTTCACGTTCTTTTGTTTTGGTCCCGAATCTCTGAATCTCAGCACCTCGGTGCTGGCCAGCTCCTCCCAAGTGCTCGGAAGCCACGTGTGGCCGGTGGCTCCCACACGTGGACACAGCACCGTGCCGGGCCTTATCCTGGCGCTCGGACCAGCCCCTTTCTCCCCCTGGGTCTCGGAAACAAAACAAGGACCCTCAGCGCCAAAATACTTTGTCCAAGCTTCCACTCTGAGCCTACAGGATGCGGAGCCCCACTGTTGGTGGGGACAGGCCAATCATGGTGGTCCTTGGTCCCAAAACAGAGACGCCCAGAACCTCTTAGAAGCAGCCAGCAATGGGGCCACTGCCTCCGTGAAGCTGGTGGGGAACATCGGAGCCAACCTGATTGCTTTCCTGGCGTTGCTGGCCTTCGTCAACGCGGCCCTCTCCTGGCTGGGAGCCATGGTGGGTGCCCAGGAGCTCAGCTTCCAGGTACCGTTGGGCTGCCCACTTGGCCCGCGAGGGGCGGCCCGGGGCCGGGGGCTGGGCGGCAGTGGGTGGACACCCAGCAGATCCGCGGCCAGCCCTGGTCCTGGTCCCAGCAGCTGCCCTTGCCTTGTGCCTCAGCTCATCTGCTCCTACGCCCTGCGGCCTGTGGCCTTCTTAATGGGGGTGGCCTGGGAGGACTGCCCGGTGGTGGCGGAGCTCCTGGGGACCAAGCTGTTCCTGAACGAGTTCGTGGCCTATCAGGAGCTCTCCCAGTACAAGAGTCACCGCCTTGCGGGAGCTGAGGAGTGGGTCGGCACCAAGAAGCAGTGGATCTCCGTGAGTGTCCCGGTCCCCTCCCTGTGGCAGGGGTGTCATGCCACCACTCCTGGGCCCCCTGGTAGGTGCTGTCCCAGCTCCTGGACAGGCAGGGGACACACGGAGATGGCGCCCAGCCTCCCAATCCTACTGCCCCGAGCGACAAGATGGCCTCGGGTTTCACTCCCTCCTTCCCGAAGCCTCTTAGGAGGCTGAGCTGCAAGGAAAGAGCCTCTTTGGGGACACCTGCGATCTTGCCGTAGATGGGCCACCATCCTGTGTGGCTTTGGGACGGCCACAGAGCCTCGCCTCTCCTACTGGAAAGTAGTGTGATTCGTGCCACGGCTGCGCCCAGAGGGACATATGTGAGCGTCCAGTGAGCAGAGGGAGCGAGATAGGGAGGCCCCGCCACATTCACAGCCAGCACATTGGATTCGGTTCCCCTGATGGCTTTTTCTGTGAAAATCTATTACTAAAAACTCTAGAGGTGCCCGGGTGGCTCGGTCGGTTAAGCATCCGCCTCTTGATTTCTGCTCGGGTGATGATCTCAGGGTCGTGAGATAGAGCCCCGTGTTGGACTCCGCGCTTGGCAGGGAGTCTGCTTGGGATGCTCTCTCCCTCTCCCTCTGCTCCTCCCCACCCCTGCATGAGCACAGGCTCTCTCTCATTCTCTCTCTCGTAAAAAAACAAAAACTCTAGGGGTGCCTGGGTGGTTCAGATGGTTAAGCGTCTGCCTTCGGCTCAGGTCATGATCCCAGAGTCCTGGGATCGAGTTCCGCATCAGGCTCCCTGCTCCTTGGGAGCCTGCTTCTCCCTCTGCCTCTCTCTCTCTCTCTCTCTGTCTCTCATGAATAAATAAATAAAATCTTTAAAACAAAAACAAAAACAAAAACAAAAACTCTAGGGGCACCTGGGTGGCTCAGTCGTTAAGCGTCTGCCTTCAGCTCAGGTCATGATCCCAGGGTCCTGGGATCGAGCCCCGCATCGGGCTCCCTGCTCGGCGGGAAGCCTGCTTCTCCCTCTTCCACTCCCCCTGCTTGTGTTCCTGCCCTTGCTATCTCTCTCTCTGTCAAAGAAATAAGTAAAAATTTAAAAAAAAAAAAAAAAACCAAAACTCTAAAAGCTCTATAAAATGAATGTTTCTAAACAAATAAAAGCTCTATGTAGCATCACTGAGAATAAAACCATTACCTGTCACCTCGCCATCCTAAAATTATAGCTAGTGTTGTTTTATGCATTTTCTCCTATTCTTTTTTCAAGGGAGAGTTTACCTGGTTGTCATTACAGCATCCATCCTGTAGTGGAGCCAGCTTTCCCCACACCAGCTGTTATGACAGAAACATTTTTGATGTATGCATCCTGACATATTTAACCAATTCCTTGCTGTGGGGCCCCCCTGGGTTCATTGCCTCGTTTGGCTATTTTACACAGTGCTGAAATGAACAGCTTTGTGCACAGAACCTTTCCCTCCTCTCGGATCATTTCCTCCGGAGCTTTCCCAGATGTGGGATGACTGAATCACATGGCATGAATCCTCGTGCGGTTGCTCCCAGTGACTTTCCCAAAGGGTGGTAGCGACGGAAACGTCCCCCAGCTGGCCTGTGAGGGCTCTTTTCTACACACTAAGCGGCACTGAGCAACCTCCTTAAAAAAAGTTGTGCTTACTGTAACAGGCAAAATAGCTCATTGTTTTAATTTGCATCTCTTGGGTTACTAGGCACTTTGAAGGGGAAATATTTTTTCTTCTTAAATTATGTTTTAAATTGTAAGGGAATGTAGCCTTCAGTTAAAAATAATAAATTGTGTGAGATCAAAAGCACAGATTTCCCTGTCCTTGTCCTCAGCCCCTGTCTGTCTCTCCTCTAGAGATAATGGATGGGATGCTCCTTTAGGATCTTTTTTTACTTTGTTCCTTTAGTAAGTATTGGTTGAGACCCCCAGGGTGCCAGGCACTCTGCGAGGCACCACAAATTAAAAGGGGAAGTAGACAGACACGGTCCCTGATGTCATGGAATGTAGGCCTAGTGAAAAGCACAAGGAAGTGAAGGAATAAAAAGTAAACCACGATCTGAATGAAGTTCTACAAAGGAAACAAGAAGAGGAAACAGAAGGGTCTTCCTTGGCTGGACTAGTCAGAAAATGCTCCCCGAGGTGTAGCATTTAGGCCAAGACCTGGAGGGAGGAGAAGGGGCCAGGTGAAGCTGGGAAGAGCATTCCAGACAAAGAAAAGGCAGGTGCAAAGGCCCTGAGGTTGAACAGCACTTGTTTGGAGAAACAAAAGGAGAGAAGCACAGTTAGAGCAGGTGGTAATTGTAGAAGAGACTGGCTGAGGAGCAGTAGAAAGTTCCTGAAGATTTGACATTTTACATTTTAAGATTCCTTGAGCTGCTGTAGAGAGAGGGTGATGGTAGGTGAGCAAGCCGGATGCAGGAGCCTTAATATTTTTCCATCCATTTGTGTAAACTCTTTATGTTATAAGGACATTACCCATTTTCTATTATATTTTATACATATATATTTCCTAGTCTTTTTTCTTCTTCATCTTGTATTTGGGGATTTTTCTTTTAACCGATTTTACACCAAATCTTTTCCTTTGTGATTTCTTCTATTATTTCTAAACTTAGAAAGTTATCTCCATTCCAGAAATCTGATAGGTATTAAATTCCTGAGACAATATGGTGAAATATTTAAAAGCTTGAGTTTTGCAGTCAGGCAGAACTGAATTCCAATTCTTACACGGCCACCTTCTGGCTGTGTGAACCAGTTCCTCAGTTACTTAACCTCTCTGAGCCTCCGTTTGCTCCTCTCCAAAATGAGAGTAATAATGCTACCTTGTAAGTATAATTATTATTTGCCTATATTTTCTGTTATTTGCTGTTTAAAATATCAGTATTTATCTGCTTCAATGCTCTAGAATTGATTTTTTTTATATGGTGTGAGGTATGATCTAAGCCTTTTTTTTTTTTTTTTTTATTCCAAATTGTTCCATTTGGCTCTTAACACCTCTTTCTCGGAAATTAAACAACTGTATAATTGGGAAGGGAAGGGGAATTATTTTGCTTAAATACCTGGAACTTTCCCTACGGTGTGACCCTTACAGCAGCCTTCAGGCAGGTGCTATTATTCCCATCCTGCAGATGGAGACGCTGAAATGTAAAGAGGCTATTGACTTGCTCAATCTGGTCATAGGTGGGGACACGTGTGGAGCCCCGCTGGCTGGGCTCCCAGTTCCTCACTGTCTTCAGGAGGCTGTCCTCAGTCCTCTTGCAGCCTGAGAGCCCCTGCAGGAAAACAAACTCCAGGCTATAGTGCTGGGAAGGGCCATTCACCAAGTGCCCCCCGGGGAACAGAGTTTAGGAAGGCCAACGCCAGAGGGCATAACAAGCCTGAATCAGACTGGGAAAGGGTGGCAATTAAGATAAGGGGACGGAAGGCCACAGGCAGGGGGCTGTTTCTCAGGTGGTGCGGCCTGAACTGACCTAGAGGCCATTGTGCGAGGCCTGGGGTGAGGGTGGGGTCAAGCACTGAGGGCTTTAAAGGCCAAAACACACCGGAAGTGGACGCAACTAGGGCTGGGGAGCCAGGGTGGTATGGGGGTGCCCCGCCCCATGCAAGGGAAGCCCCTCCTCACTCATATTCTGTCTTTTCAGGTCAGAGCAGAAATCCTCACGACATTTGCCCTCTGTGGATTTGCCAACTTCAGTTCCATTGGGATCATGCTGGGAGGCCTGAGTGAGTCCTGGGGGCCTCCCCAGCACCCTGGGCGGTTGGGGGCCTGGCTCTGAAACAACTTCCTGGGATCCTTAGGCCTCCGTCCTCCCGTATGTCCAGGGCAGGGCCTGAGCAAGATGGCCGCGGAGGTTCCTCCCAGCCCTAGGACTTCTCTGCTGCGGGGCCGGGGGGGGGGGGGGGGGGGGGGGGGCGGCCCAGGGGTTAGCACCCCGCTCAGGAGTCTGGGGAGGGAGGGAAGGTGCGTGCTGACCTGTCCCCTGAGGCCGGTCGGTTCCCATACCCACGGTGGACAGGTGGCCCTGGCGACGAAGGAGGAGGGCCCTGCACGGTTCTGAGCCGCTCCTCACAGACCCCCTGCCTGGTGGTGTAACCATCCCATTTTACAGAGAAGGAAACTGAGTCTTGGAGAAGGGAAGTGATGGTCCCAGTCGCTCAGCTAGTTAGTGGCTGAGCCTGTATTTGATCCCAGGTCTGCCTGATGGCAAACTCACCTTCTTTTCCTACATCCGCCTCTGAGGGTGGCAGGTGTGGGGCGTTACCTGGGGGCCCAAGTCAGGCCAAGGAGGACTCCCGAACTCAGGGAGCGCGCAGGAGGACAACATCTGTCCCTCCATCTGCCCAGAAGGGGAAGGGGAGTAGGCAGAGGCATCCCAGAGGTGCAGAGTACGGGCAGAAGGGCAGAGGGCCTCCTGCGCTCAGCACCCCGGTCTCCTCGCAGCCTCCATGGCCCCCCAGCGGAAGAGCGACTTCTCCCAGATAGTTCTCCGGGCGCTCTGCACGGGGACCTGTGTGTCGCTGGTGAATGCCTGCGTGGCCGGTGAGTGCCGGCCTGGCAGAGTCCTGATTTTCTAGCCCCATCCAGGGCCGGACACCGGGGCTCTGGCCCCTCTGGAAGTTCCAGCAGGGGTGGGGAGTTGGGGGACGCAGACCCTGCCCACCAGCTGCCTTCCCTGCACAGGGATCCTCTATGTGCCCCGGGGGGCCGCGGTCGACTGCACGGCCCTCCTGAACGCAACCGTGGGCAGCAGAAGCTTCGAGGTATACCAGTGTTGCCGCTGGGCCTTCCAGAGGTGAGGCCCGGGCCGCTGGGGGGCTGGGGGCCCTGCAGTGACGGGGTGCAGAGGGCCCAAGTGCCTTGGGGGTGCCTCTGGTTCTGGCGCGAGGGGTAGAAACGTCACGGCCGTGGCCGATGTGGGGCTTGGAGACCAGACGGGGAGGAGGGGTGGGCCAGAGGCATGGAGCAGCTTTCCCAGGGTCGCACACCCCTCAGAGGCCCACAGAGCCAGGCCCGGAGCCCAGACCGCAGCCTTTGCTTCTTTTAGGCCCAGCCCAGAGGTCAGCCGAGGGGCCCTGGACGTCTGCTGTCGGTTTTACAACCACACGATCTGTGCGTAGCGGGGGCAGCACGTCTTCGGCCTCCTGGGGGCTGCTCGTCCCCACGAAGTGGCTGTCCCCACCCTTCTCTCTCTCACCCTTCCCTCCTGGGGGGGAAGCCACGGGGCTGAGACTCACCTCGGTCACGCGGTTGGGGAGGAGTTGATGGGGCGAGCGGGCAGAGAGTGGGTGGTGTGGAAGTGAGGGATGCCCCCCAATCCTCGACCCCTTCCTGCTCCCTCCCGAAATGTGAATTCTCAGGGTCACCTCTGCCTCCTTTTCTCTCCCCTCCGCATCCAAACAGCACTCTGGTCCCCTTTGTCTCCCCACCGTGGGTCTCTCACGTGCACCCTTCCCTTCAGTTATGGGGTCCCTCACGCTGGGCTTTGTAGCCGCCTCCCTCCCTCCCTCCTCCTCCTCTGGCACTGGAATCTTGCCGTGGCTTACCTGGGCCAGACCCTTCCTCTACTTTCAGAGGCTCCCCTGCAGCCTTTGCCCGTAGTGTTCCCAAACTGGTGTCCCGTGGAACACTGTCCCACGAGGTGTTCAGAAGGTTCCGTGATCCACCAGGCTTGGAAAATACCGGGCTAAATAAAGGTACACGGGTTTTGCTTTTGGGTTTGTTTTTGTTTTACTATGGACTCGCCAAATCTTGATCCAGATATGACAGGAGACATTCTCCAAATTTTTTCGACCATAAGAACCTTTGGGATGGGAGCATCTCTTAGTTGAGGACCCCACGGAACACAATTCAGGAAATAGTGGTTAATGTTCTAAACTGCTTTACATAATTGTAACACAAAGTTTACATAGCACTGTCTGCCAGGCACTGTTCTGGGTGCTTCATACATTCTAACTCTCAACCCTGACAACAACCTTATGAAGTCAGGTTCTATTATTATCCCTGGTTGAGGAATCAGAGGCCCAGAGAAGTTAAGTAACTTGCACAAAGCAACACAGCTAGGAAGAGGAAGAGGTGAGATTTGAACCCAGGCCGTCTTAGCCTCACAAGCGGCGTTGAATCTCTCAGCTGGGCTGCCGGCATCAGAGGAACTCGGTTGGGTGACTTGCCCTGACCTCCCCCCCTCGGCATTTCTCCCCAGCCCACGCTTGCTGCTCCAGGGGTCCAGGCTTCTGAGGTGTTTTACGTGCCTCTGCGCCTTCGTTCCTGGCATCCCCGTCACCCAGCAGGCCCTGTCCCTCTCTCTCTTGCCTGTGCTCCTCCTGCCGACTTCCCACTCCCCAGCGGCTTTGGCGGAGTGACCTGCGATGCACCTGTGCCTGGGGCCGCCGGGCCGCCGCTCCATCACTCACCTGTGTCACCTCCGGCTTCCCAGTTGTAGCCCGCCCTGGGCCAAGGCAGAGAGAGGACGTGCTCTCAGCTCAGCACTGCTCTGATCGCGGGGGCGGGCACAGGAGGGAGGGCTCCTCAGTCATCGGACCTTCCCTCCACCCCCGTGCTCCGTCCTCCTCACTGGGCACCTGCAGACGTCGGGAGCCCTTTGAGGGGAGGCCTGCAGACATCTGCTGGTGCCGGAAGCCCGTGCTTAACTGCATCCCAGGCGCAGCTCTAAGTCAAGATTGGCACAGACCCCTCCACTTGCCCCTTCCACAGCCGTGACAGACATTGCTAATCGATCACAGCACTCCCCACACTGAATCCAGAAGGGCCTCCAGAATCCCCATCAGTGTGGTGCTGGAGGACCCCACTGCCAAGGGATTCAGGCTGCCTTTTCGGGGGAGAACTATTTGCTGCCCCTGTGCTAAGAAATAGACACTAAGAACCCAAACTGCCATTGATTTTATGTCCCTGGCCTTGGAAGGGCTGGGGTTTTTGGAAAAGACTCTAGAAATGAAGGACGTTGAAGCAGAGAGGGATCTTTGCAAGGAATGAGGCCCGTGCCCGTGATCTGTCCGCTCCAGGATTATGCACTGCTCGCTGATTCAGTCAAGGAATATCCATGGAGCACGTTTTATTAGCTCGGGCTGCCATCACAAAATACCACAGCCTGGGTGGCTTGAGCAACAGAAATCAATTCTGTCATAGTTTTGGAGGCTGGAAGCTCAAGATCAGGGTGCCGGCACGATCAGTTTCTAGTGATGTCTCTCTTGCTAGCATGCAGATGGCCTCACACTGCAGAGAGAGAGGGAGACAGCAAGCTCTCCGGTGTTTCTTCTTGCAAGGGCACTCATCCCACTACGGGAACCCTCCTGACCTCATGTGACCCTGCTTACACCCGGAGGCCCCATCTCCAAATACCATCGCCTTGGAGGTAAGGGCTTCAACATAAATTGGGGAGGATGCAGTTCAGTCTGAAACACCTTATGAGCAGGGGAACAGCAGTGAACCAAATTCTGATGAGCTAAAGCATTGGCATCTGGCTTCGAGAAGAGGGTTGGCTGGGAAGGGAAGTCCCTCCCGAGACAGGGCGTGGCTCCCAGGAAGATGACCTTGATAGGAGGGAAGGGCAAAGGATCTTTAGCAGGCTTCTCAGGCGTCCTTAGGGGGCCTGGCCAACGGCATTTTTCTGGGCTCTTAGTATAGTGGAAAGTGAAAATGATACCAGAATAGGATTGCACAAATTACGATTTATATTGTCATATATTTTAACACAGAACACACTGTAATATTGTGTTGTCCCCAAGATGACAGGATTTATTTTCAACTGAAGGCCGACTGAAGAATCTAAGAAGCCATTTTTATTAATCTCAAAAATTTCACTGTGATCGCCTGTTTTTATACATTAGGTTTCTTGAAATCTAGATTCTGTGCCCTCCTGTACTTAGTGTAATAGCGATCAACATATAAGATATATTTATTATGTTAAATTAAGTCCTGGTGGGGTGGTCCGCTGATGAGGATTTTTCAGCCAACATGACTACATGAATGACCTAATTTGGAGATGTGAGCAGAAGTCTACGTTCAGCAAACGTACAATTCCTCTGTGAAGTTGCTATGAGGCTTCTGAACGTCACTTTCAGTATCTATTACATGATTACAGACCTATAAACACATGTGGGCCATACTCTGAATAGCACTGTCCTCTAGTATTTTCTGTTAATGAAAATTTGTCAGCATTGTCTACTCACATGATTTGTCCTGAATGTTAACTTCTCTAAGGAGATGTGGGAAAAGGCAGCAGGACTCTGGTTGGAATCTAGGACGCATGTCTTTCATGAGAGAATGTACGCAAAATCGCATGGACAGAGGCACCTAGGTTAAGCGTCTGCTTTCGGCTTAGGTCATGATCCCAGAGTCCAGGGATCGAGTCCCGTGTTGGGCTCCCTGCTCGACGGAGAAACTGCTTCTCTCTCTGCCCTTCACCTGGCTCGTGCTCTCTCTCAAATAAATAAATAAATCTTTTTAAAAAATTGCACAGACAGTAGAATTCCAAATAATTTATGCAATACTTCCCTTAAGGGGAAGTGCAAATCAAATTTTGCCTCAAAAATGTTTCCCTTCGATCCCAGTTTTGCCATTCTGGGCCATTCAGAACAAGTCCTATCTCATGGATATATCTTTATTGTTTGTTTGTTTAATTTTAGATTTATTTACCAAAGGAATACTTGCTCATGGGCTTTAAAAAGTCCAATCTTAGAGAAACCTTATAGACGTGTTTTAATCCCTTTTCCTCATGGCAGCTCTTCAGCAGTTGGAAGATGGCAAGCATCCAGGCTTCCCTTTTCTGAGCTGGGACCCTTAGTCCTTTCACTTGTTCCTCACATAGCACGTCATGGTTTCAAAATTTGCCCCAGACCTGATTCTTAGCTGTTCTGCACTTATATGCAGACATTGCGCGTCTCATGAGCCAGTTCCAGACTGAAGCCAGAACACAGGGGGATAAATAGGATCTCATGGGTGTAACCACGATGATGGGATGGGACTAGAGATTGGATGTAGCCGAGGAGGGAGGGTATTTAAGAGAGGCAGACCTATAAGGAGAGTGTTAAGAAGCTACGTGTCTGCTCCAGAAACACTCCAAGCCGAGCGCTGGCATGTTGAGGGTGAAATATCATGGAGGGAGGAGAGAATAGGAGAAAGTTCTGTCCCAGAGCACAAATGGGACCACAGATAGGATAGGAATGGGGTGGGTGGGACCTTGCCTATTGGGACATCCGATAGGACTCCTACTTACCTACCATCAAGGGTGCAACAAGTTCATAACTTGCCTAGAGGATGATTTCCATCCCCAGAGATAAAGGGAATTGCTGCTTTTTCTTTCTTTTTTTTTTTTAAGATTTTTATTTTTAAGTAATCTCTACACCCAACATGGGGCTCGAACTTATAACCCTGAGATCAAGAGTCGCATGCTCTGCTGACTGAGCCAGCCAGGTGCCCGGGGAATTGCTGCTTTGGACCGAGTTCTGATAAAGATGTGGACCCGTGGAGTGGGAGGCGCCATGGCAGCAGAGATTATGTGACTGGAAGTGACGGGGAGGCTGGCACAGCTGGGCACTTTGTCCACATTGAAGACAAAGGCGTTCAGAAGACTCTGGGAGGAAAGACTGGTTCTGCTGCAGGAAATATCCCAATGAGGAAGGCAGACAGAGATAACAAAAGAAACCAACATGATTATGAATGAGTAGCAGGAACCTGGTTCAGAAGCTCAGAATTTTAAAACAACAGGCACCAAGATCTGACCAAAGGACACATGACCCAGCATAGGCAAGAGAGCTGGTCATCCTCCCACAGTTATTCTCCCCTTTTTCCTGTAGTAATCACTAAAGCTCTAGCTGGGCAACGGGCCAGCTAGCATGAAGACTACATTTCCCAGCATTCCTTGCAGCTAGCTGTGGCCACGGGACTTGGGTCTAGTCCTTGGCACTTGACTTCTGAGCAGTCCAGTAGGCAGCCTCCAGATCATGCCCTTAGGGAAGGGGTCAGCAAACTTTTTTTTTTTTTAAGATTTTTTATTTATTTATTTGAGAGAGAGAGAATGAGAGACAGAGAGCAGGAGAGGGAGGAGGGTCAGAGGGAGAAGCAGACTCCCCGCTGAGCAGGGAGCCCGATGTGGGACTCGATCCCGGGACTCCAGGACCATGACCCGAGCCGAAGGCAGTCGCTTAACCAACTGAGCCACCCAGGCGCCCCAGCAAACTTTTTCTTAAATAGAAAAATAGATGTACCCTCCCTCAGCTACATCCAATCTCTAATCCCATCCCATCATCAACAAAAAAATAGATGGTAACTATTTTTAGGTTTGGGGGTCCCTACTATCTCTCTTGCAACGATTCAACTCTGTCCTTGTAGTCTGAAAGCAGCCATTAGGCAATGAACAAATGAGAGTGGCCATGCTCTGATCAAGCCAGGCTTACAAAACCAGTCGGCCAGCCCAGAGTCTGTAGTTGGCTGACCCCTGCCTTAGCGAAGGGGCTCATCCTCCATGTCCCCAGTATGTTTCAATTTTCTTCCATGCCATTTGGAATACGGATGGAAGATGAGCCCACTTAGATGGAGACAATTTCCATACCTTAGGGATGGAGCAGCCACAAGTTAGGAGGAGCCTGGGCCTCTGGTGTCTTGGTAAAGGGGCTGCCGTGACGGTGAAGACTCCATGTGACCCAGGAATACTGTTTCTCTTGTTCATGGCATCATTTGGTGTCTTTATTACACACGCCCTGCCCGTGGACAAGAAGAACAGACCAGGCGGTAAGAAAGAGCAAGTTTGGGCACCTGGGTGGCTCAGTTGGTTAAGCGACTGCCTTCGGCTCGGGTCATGATCCTGGAGTCCCGGGATCGAGTCCCGCGTCGGGCTCCCTGCTCGGCGGGGAGTCTGCTTCTCCCTCTGCCCTCTTCCCTCTCGTGCTCTCTGTCTCTCATTCTCTCTCAAATAAATAAATAAAATCTTAAAAAAAAAAAAAAAGAGCAAGTTTGCCTCTTCCCTGCAGGATTCCTGATGAACAAATGGGAAACAAGATATTATTAACCGGGTGCCTATCATCCCTGGCATTTCTGATTCCCTGGCAATTTGGAGCTGGTGCATTCCACTGGAGCCCTAAATAGGACTGCTCCCTCTGACAAAGTCCAAATCTGGAATGTACCCACCCACCTGCCACCAAGATTTAGAAGAGAGAGTCCTCACACACGTGAGAGGGAATGCGGAGAGAGAGCCATGTGGCCAAACTGCAAAATTTTCCAAGCTAGCTTTGTTCCCCGTAAAAATAAAACTGCCAGTTATTTTACCAGCAAAAGATGGGTTTATTCGAGAAGAGCCGAGAACTGCAACCCAGGACAAGCAAGAACAAAGGAGAGTATGCTCTTTTATAGAGGAAAGGCTGTTGTAAACAAAAGGTCCATCAGCGTCAACTGGGAGCTGGATGTACGGAGGCTTGTCATCGACTGAGTTTTGAGTGTCCGTCATTGGCTGGACTGTGGTGGGGGGAGGAGGAGAGTCTCACTTCCTCCTGCCACAGCAGCAAAGTGGTAACCACGTGCGAGGGGAGCAAAGTCCGTCTCTTCCTGTGGGATTTGCAGGGGAGCCCCCCTGCTCACCTCCTGACTCCATTCTACTGAAGTCCCCCTCTCTTGATTCTCACAGCTTCATGGCAGGAAAGCACCAGCAAGAGAAAGAAGGAAAGAAGGGGCAAGGTAGGGTCATATCAGCTTCACACCTCAGGCCACAGACGCAGGAAACAGGAAAGAGGCTGATCACCATGCAGAACGTGTTCAAGTACAATGACTTGGCCCACTGGTAAAGGTGGCCCAACCCATGATGCAGCCTCTGCCCGGATGGATCTTGGTCCCCTCCTCTTGGAGAACAGCGAGATGGAGCTAGAAGAAGGGCCTTCCTCCCCAGTCTCCAACCAGCTCCCCCCTCACACGCCACGCATTGCAAATTATATTCAGGGCATAAAAGAACAAGGAAGAGGTCATCTCATGAAGACTGTGGAACAGACCTCACATCCTTCCACGGGTTTCTGTTGCTCTCTCTCTGCCTTCTCTCCGCACAGACTCCTTTCTTATCTTTTCAAGATGGCACCGGTTTCTCATCTGTAAGGGAGACAGGGAATAACCCCAGGTCACGGCTGCTCCCCGGACTGGCACACAGAACGTCAAGAGCTCTCCTGGCTGTCAGGAAACGGCGGCATGCGCGGAC